GCTTCAAAAAGAAGAGTCTGGGATAGTAAATAAACAATGTGAAACAAATTTAGCCAGTCAGAGGATTACAGAAATGCCATCTAGTTTCACTAATTCATAATCAGTTCATAACCTAGTTTTATTCACTCCTAATCAGAAAGTGGCAGGATCATTACTTATTTTCTTACACTGTACAGACCATATGCCTACCCATTTTGATATGATACAGAATATCATAATCTACCATAATCACCCATGTTTCCACAGAGACTGAAATTTAGTCATCACAGTAGATGACAATGCTGATAAATACTGGGTTGTCAGAAAAGTCATGACGCATTTTTGCAACGAAAAACATAGAAAAAATATGTCATGACTTTTCCAACAACCCAATACAACAAATAACTAAAATTTTATTGTGTCTACAAGCCTAAGAACCCTCTTCTTTCCAAGAGAAGCTTTCTACAGTACATGGAAAGAAGCAATAAAAAACTGAATAAACAAATGTATGTACATATACATGCAGGTACACACACACACACACACACCAATGAGCATTACGGTGAGTCTTATAGAAGGAAATCAGAAGAAAAGCCCATTATGTTGAAACAGAACTCTATTAAAGATTTATTAACAACTGTTGGACAGCCTCATTTACTTCCCCGGGAAACTGAATCGCTACCAACTAGAAGACATACATATTCGATAGATGGATAGGTGGTTGTAAGGCAGAATCTACTTTAAATTGGTAATATTCTTTGCCACAGAAAGTGCATAATCAACAGATGATTATTAAATGGATTTTATCTGTCCCAGACAGGACAAAGAGTTCAGACATAGCCGGCTGCTTCTTAATAGCTGAAGTGGGTGAAAAATGGAAACTCCTGACGTGCTCCTGTACCACTACCAGGATACCTCAGAGTTCTGGCAGCCCATCCTTTGCTTTAAATCCTTTAAAGGTTTTCTATTGTTCTCCAGATAGCATTTCAAATCATCATTATGAACCAAAGGCCCAAACAGGTCTGTCTCCACCCTCTTACCCTATCTTTCTTCATGCCCAATACTACTACACCTCCAACTCCCTCAACTCCTACCCATCCTTCAGACCTCAGTTAAATGGGTTCCTCTAGCATTTTTCCCTGACCACCTAGTACACATAGGTTAGGCAGCCCTGATATGCTCAAAGCACCCCATACTTTTTGGGATAAAGAGCACTTATCCCAACTATTCCTGTTTTTATTTAATCTAGTGCTTCCCAACTAAACTAAGTTTACCATCCTCTACCAATCTATAAAATCAAGCTCACCCAGCAGCTGATTCAGAATTTGCTCAGTATTTACTAAGTCAATAAATTCTGGCCTAGACCTGTGCCTTTAATTATCTGTTCCACTAACTTGGCTTTTGGTCTTAACCTCACCCTGCATAGCTGAAAAAGGAACACATAAAAAATTACACTGCTTTCAGAAACCTGAACTTCAAATTCAGATTATGAAAGAAAAACTTTCCTGCAGATCTAGCTACTCTTGCCTATTTTCAATGTATTGAATTCAAGTATTTTCATTCCCTCCTCTATTTTAAGAGTTCTCAAAAATCAGTAACTTATTAAAAGTGGGCAGGTACTGTGAATAGGACGGTCAAAAAAACTCAAATGTTAAGCAATTAAAACGAATGATCATTTTCTACCTATTAGATTGATCAAGTTGAAAGCTTGACAACTAAAATTGGCAAGAGTATCATCTTTAGATACCTTCAGATATTGGTATTTAAAATAGTTAAAATATAAATGCAACCTCTTAGAAAAATAATTTGGCAATATCTATGAAAAATGTGAATGCACAAATCCCTTGACCCTGCAAATTTCACTTCTAGGAATTTATCCTATTGCTATAGTTTCATAAATGCACAAAGAAATCACTAAGGATATTCACGACAAAATCAAGAAAGAGATGACTAAATAAAATCATGGTACAATCCAATACTCTACAGCTGTTCAAATATGAGATAAAGATTTATATACTGATATGTAAAGATATCTAAAACATAGTGTTAAGCTTCACACACACATACAAACACACGCAGTAAATAGCTCTACCTTGGAGATTAAGAAAGCATCAAGAGTTACCAAAAAAGATTTAAGTCATAAAGGGGGAATACACGAATTCTCTATTAAATGATTAAATTGAGCTCCATGCTGAAAAGCGCTTCTGGGTAGTGCTGACTTGGTGTTCCACCAGTTTACTTTGTCTTGCAGGCACATTTATCCATAGTCTATCCTGTTTCAGTGTTTGGTAAGACAACAACAAATGGACATCTTTCCCAATCTAAAAAGCCAAAGCAATTCAAGTTCCTGAAATAATTTTAGAAACCTTGATTTTGGTATATGTAACAAATGAATTTTTAAAATCTTGAAAAGAACAAATTTCATCCTAGACCATCAGACCACTATAAAAAACACTGTCAACTCTAAGAGTTCTGGAAGCATACACATCACACTGCCTATTCACATTATGCTTCCAGATTGGGATTTGAGAATAAAACATTTTGCACTTTTAATATTATTTAAATAATATTGACTAGTTTCTTATGACCTAGGCACTGTTCTAAAACTTTATTATGTATCTCATTTAATCTTCAAACCAAACCTATAAGGTAAGTTATCCCCATTTACCAACAAAACAATTATTAAAATAATTAAATGCACTAAAAGAAATGCACTGAAATTATTCAGCAACCCCACAACCCATACTGTGGTCCCTAAATGACGCTTTGTCAATACAGGCAGAAAATACATTTCACTATATATAAATCAACCATCATGCTACATGTCTTAAACTTAACCAGTGATGTATATCAATTATTTCTCAATAAAGCTGGGTGTGTGGAGGGTAAATCACATTTTTTTAAAAGGGCAGGAAATATTGGGTTGTCGAAAAAGTCATTTGCAACGAAAAACGACGTCATGACTTTTCCGACAACCCAATACATGGGTCTGGAACATCTGATAGAATGCAAGAAAGTTATTAAAAAACTATGAGGGTTACATTCAAAGGACACAAGTAACCTTCCCAGAGGCTGGCACTGGCCAAAGAGCATCAAAAAGAATGACTACAATGGTCTGAAACACAAACATATAAAAACCCATAAATTCATAAAAATACATTCAAAAAGAGGTTGCTAAAGAACGAATTCAGTTAACAAATGAGAAAAATTAAGCATTTATCCTGCTTTGCCTACACGAACTGTATTTCAGAGTCATCCATGGTTGATGAAGGCAAGTTCTTATACGATAAATGCTCAGATTTCAGTGTGCCTCTGAATCCTCTGAGGGCTTGTTAAAACATAGATTACTGGTTCCTATCCACATAACTTCTAATGCAGGTCTGGGCTAGGGCCCAAGATTTTGCATTTCCAACAAATTATCAGGTAACACTAATGCTGCAGTCTGGGGACCACACTTTAGAAAACCCGTTACAGACGAATTCTGGATAATAAATGCAAAAAGTAGAAACCAACAATTCCACATGATGTTGCCATTGGGGAAAACTGGCAAAGGGTAAACAGGATCTCTCTGTCTTATTTTTTACAACTAAATGTGAATCTATAAATTATCTAAAAATAAACAGTATTTTTAAAAATTTCATATTAAGACCTCTAGCTTCAGGACTAAAGAATCACTACACAAGCCCTCCCAAAAGAGTGTGGCTGAAAAAAACTCCAGACAGTATTTATATTCATTTATAGACATTAATAGCAATTTCATTAACTCATAAAAGGACCTCAAAGCAAAGTTTTAAAAACTAAAACAATTACTACAATACATTAGGCAAGATTAAATAAAACCAAATTAATGTAAACCATTCATGGTCTCTAATAATCTGAGAGCAGTTCTCAAATTTTCTGATGTCAGTACCCCTACATACTCTTACAATTATTTAGAACTCCAAAGAGCTTCTGTTCACACAGGTTGCATCTACCAATATTTATCTTATTAGAAATTAAAACAGAGGAATTGATAAAATATGTATTAGTTCATTCAAAAGCAACAGAAAAACATTACATGTTAANAAAGAAAAAAACATCTAGACTGTACCATATGATTGTGAGTTATCAGGATATAGAAAATAACTAAATATATGCAGTGTATGAAATCACCCAAAGAGCAAGTGAAGAATATGATCCCAAGAGTGGGCCAGGACTAAACTCTAAGACTTAAACACCAACATCTGAAAAGATAGTAAAATATAGTTGAAGGATAAATAATATTTAAGAAAGCAACATACAGCAGTATTTCACTCTTTAATTTTTTAAAAATGCATCCACTGTGACTAAAACTATAGGACATACAGTGAGTATATTTTCACCTTAAATCATTCAAAACAAATAATCATTCACCACTGAATTATAATTTAGACTGATTTAATGTTTACCTAGTAATGTACCAAATATTTGCATATGTTTTGAAATAAGTATTTAAAAGAGCATAAGCCAAAGTACCAATTCCTACCCTCAGAATTTTTCTGTAGCAAAATTTTTCAACAGGTTTAAGACTATTTTAAATAAATATTCTATATTTCAAAAGCATTTAAAAATGTTATAACATATACTCCCACACTAGAAAACCATAAAATCATTAAAAGCAATATGATGAGAAAGGGTATTAAGTTTATCCAGAAACATTAGCAGGAAGATTGATAGATTTATGAGCACAAATTTTTTTAATTCAACACCTTCATTCATTCTTAATCAAGTTCATTCCAATATGGCAGTTGCTCTTGGTTTCTTTAAGGAAAACTGTAATTCTAGTACTACAAATGCCTACCTTAGCAACAGTTCAAAAAGTTTCCTTCACACCAAGTATTTAACACATTTATAAACGCCATTTACAGATAAGTCTTTTCAAATAAAAACTTCAAAGAAATACATTCCCTGGTTTTTATTTGAATGGCTTAAGGCAAATTTTAGCAAAAGGATATATTACGCATTTAAAACAGATTACCTAGTATCCAAAACAATTATCGTACCTTGAAACATGCTTAAAAGCCTCCACTATAACTGGTGCAAAATCTTTTGTAAACTCCGGCCCCTTCCTTTTGCTGTTCTGAATGACATCATTGGCTAGGTAGAGAAAAGTAAGCTTCCTGTTTGGTTTGGCTGGAAAAAAAATAAATAAATAAAAATCTACTTAAAATATCCTTACTTAACTTGGACAAACTTTCTCAACATCCGAATTAAGCAGTTTGAGTATTACAACAAACCTTTATTTATCATGTTCAACCCTAGCTTCTCATTCTACAACCAAACTTATCAAGTCATTATTCTTTTACTCACCAGAATAACTACTCTATGGTTTCTGGAGATCAATCACGTGAGGAAAAAGAGAACTCAAGAGGCAGAGGTAGTCAATGATATATGAAACTTTGTTTCCTTGCAGTTTTACCAAGTCACCCAAACTACTTTTCCTTGATTGCTAGTCTTATAGCTATTCCCAAACCAACAGTTTTGCACACTAAAATCCTCATGTCTGTGTATAAATTCATGTCTGTGACTCTATCCTGTATAAAATTTTATTAAAACTATTAAGCACTAAATGAACTACAGCCATTTAAAAATAAGATGGTGACTGGTCATATTATTAAGATGGCACTCTAAATCTTAAATTGAATTTATAATGGTTTTAATACTCATGATTTAAAAACCGATTTTTAAGTTAGTGTGAAACAAAGAGTACAAAATGTTAAAATAGGTTGAAAGAGACATCACTTCAATGATATATTTTTGTTTATGAAATATTTGCCAAGTTAATAGGGTAAATATTAAGGAGAACAGATGGGCAAAGATTAGACTCTTGCCCCCCACCCCCCACCTTTGGATCACAATAACTGAATAAATAACTGAATTCATCTTGACAAAAATATACCCCTACTCAATAAATTCTATGGGCATAAGTCCTTCTACAAGAGCAGATAAGATTTCAACAACTGTGGGCCAGAATACATTTTTCCTGGTTACAATGTTAAGTGGCGTGCAGTACTAAATGTGACTCAAACAAGATCTACATACGTAAGAAAATTTAGTTAGTTGAACATAATCTTTCATACTATTTTCATAATATAATTTTACTAGAATTAAACCTGAATCATTCAAAGTTGTACAACTGTATTCAGAAACCTCATTCAGAAACCTACATTACATTTAGTCATGTGGAGGACTTACAGTCAGGACTGATAATCCAGTACACTACGCATGGGGGCCAGCTCATTGGATTTAAGGCAAAAAACTTGGGCAGGCTGCCTTTGGTCCTTTAGATTTGAGTAATCAATTTAAAATGTAAGCATTCAACATATTAAAAGCCACTTTTGAGTTCACATCTTCCTTGAGGGGAAACTAGCAACCCAACCTTCTCACAAGAGTAACTGTAAAATATTGAGTCACCACCGATCAGACTTTACAAACCTGTGCTCATCACTTCATAATCTGGTATGCCTGTCTAAAGTTGCCACCCACCACTTTTCATGCTTTTGAAAGTCACTGGCACAGAATAAAGATGACGAAGACATGGCAATAACAGAGACCAACTTCTGATTCTTCTGGCTCTAGCCTGGTTAAATAAATCATAGAGTACAACTGGAGTATAACTGGTTAAGGTACCAGGATCCTTTCCCATAAAGATGATAACAATAGCACTTACCCAAGATTAAGCCCTGTCTCTTTTAAATTACACCTGCTCAAAAAAATCTCACCCAAACAAAAGGCTGGTATTATTTAATCCAAGTATTTGCCTTCTCAGCATCAAAATGGGTTTTAAAACTCAAATTTTTTTACTGCCTAATTGGGAGACTGCCAGCAAGTACTTCTGAATGGGTACCTGAACCAATGGGCTCCTTTACCTAAGCTATTTAACTTCCAATATGTGTTACACACAATTCTAAGCACTTTACATATATTACCTAATTTAATCCAAATAATGTGAAGTACCATTATTATCTGTATTTGGCAGTTGGAAAAAAAGACATCAAAAAGGTTATTTGCTGAGTCAAATAATCAGAAAGGAATCAGCCAGGATTTGTTTGAATCCAAAACTACAAAGCATTCCCTCTTAACAACTAGACTATGACTCATGTCATAATTAAAAGAAAATGTTATCTTTTAGGACGATTAAGTAGTAACTCAATCAAAATATTTCGGATGTCAGCCGCATTATTCACAATAGCCAAAAGGTGGAAGCAAACCAAGTGTCCATCAACAGATGAATGGATAAACACACTGTCGTATAGACATACAAATGGAATATTATTCAGTCTTAAAAAGAAAGGACATTCTGAGACATGCTACAATGTGGATAAACCTAGAGGACATTACGTTATGTGAAACAAGTCAGCCATAAAAAGACAAATACTATATGATTCCACTTATATGAGGTAGCTAGAGCAGTCAAATTAATAGAGACAGAAAACAGAATGGTGGTTACCGGGGCTGGGGAGAGGGAGATGTTGTTTAATGGGTGTAAAGTTCCAGCTTTGTAAGATAAAAAGAGTTCTGGAGATGGATGGTGATGATGGGTGCACAACAGTGTGAATGTACTTCATATCACTAAACTGTACACTTTAAAATGGTTAAAAATAGTAAATTTTACCACAAAAATTTTGAAGAACATAATTTACAATGTTTTTTACATTCACAGGCTACTAACCTCTTTAAAAAAAACTCAAAATGGTTTCTACAATGTACATTAAAGTAAAAATTTACAAGATTTCAACATATATTTCCCAATGTATTCCAAAGGACAAACTCTGTACCAGGAGCATAGATTTGGTATGGGGTCCAAATACCAAAACATTATTTTCATTTTCTCCTTGTGGAACCCAGGCTAACATATGAGAAATACCTAGAAATTGCCATAATTTATAACCTCAAAATTTTCATGGTGAAAGAAAACTTACTTCCATTTAAAACTATGTGTACCTTCATGCAGAGTAAGTAATAAATTAAGTGGACTAATCACAAGCAATTCCTGAAGGAAATAACAAAAATGATTTTCAAATGAGTTTTGATAATTTGTAAAACAGCCATAAATTGTTATTAAAACACATAAAGCGAACAGAAAGGGAAAACAAGCTATTTCATAATTCCTTAAAGAAGTAACTCGGTAATAGAATATAAAGCTAAATAATAGATCTGACCTAGTCAATTCCTATAGTTCTTTGTTCAAAAGATTTCTTATAAAGACAAGTATTTTCCAATCTTCCAATCAATTTAACTTGCATTTATTTAATAAATTTGCTATGTGCCAGAGACCATGCTGGAAACAGACCAAAAATAACCTTTCCTGTTCAATAAGGAGTTGCAAACTTCATAGAAAGTGCCACATGATAGGTCACATCACTAAAAATCTTTTTTTTCTTATTCCTTCTCTCCACTAATATCATACCAACACTGGAAGCAACCATAAATATAATATTATATCCCACTGTGCCTGTATATGTGTATTTACTACTATATTTATACCGATAAAGTATAAGCCAAATCAGGACCACTCAACATTTATATTGCAAGGAACCATTTTCTTCTATCTCACCTCTCTAAACTACATTTTAAGCTCTTATGGTTACTAAGTATAACCCCTTGTTCTGGGGCCTTCTATATGAACAGGCACATCAAAAAACACAAATAATAACAATAATAAAACCTGGCTAGATAATATATAAGAATATAATATTACCTAAAAAGTTAAGCATATTCCCCCAGAAGGGCAATAAAAGTTCAGTTCATCACCCAAGTAAGAAACAGTGACATAATTCACAACCAAGTCAAAAGGTCAATTATAAGGCTTCAAAAAGAAGAGTCTGGGATAGTAAATAAACAATGTGAAACAAATTTAGCCAGTCAGAGGATTACAGAAATGCCATCTAGTTTCACTAATTCATAATCAGTTCATAACCTAGTTTTATTCACTCCTAATCAGAAAGTGGCAGGATCATTACTTATTTTCTTACACTGTACAGACCATATGCCTACCCATTTTGATATGATACAGAATATCATAATCTACCATAATCACCCATGTTTCCACAGAGACTGAAATTTAGTCATCACAGTAGATGACAATGCTGATAAATA